ACAAAAAATGTGAAACCAAAATCACACTTAGAGGCAAATTCAGAAGCCAAGAACGATCTCAATCGTTTCCTTGACAATCACTGAAGCATAACCAACCCAAAGCCAGTCTCCATACACGCTCAAAAGCTCTGTAAGTATCTCAAAAAACCACCTTTCTCTTGAATTTGCAAATCTCATTTCTTGCATCTTTTGCACAAACTATGGGCATATTCATGATCCTCATCAAATTTCCAAGCTTTCTGTATCACTCAATTTTATTTATCTGACCTGTAAAGCCAAGAACCAAATCTAGGGTTTTGTGGTTTGCTTTTTGGGCGTTTCCCTTACAGGTAAAATTAGCCCCAATAATGGCCATGGACATGACCGGAGGAGAAAGACAAGCACAACCATGGTCTTGGGAGGAATTTATATGGTCTGAAATTGATTTTATGAATGACCCACGCATTTAGCTGCAGATTTAAATCCGCAGGTAAAGTTACAGGGTTTGAAGGTCAGGGACGATGGCGTGTCTCCCTTTGATTAGACCATTCAAACTTTCACGCACTTTTTTTATTTTCTGGCAATATAACGCGTTTTGTCTTATTATTATTTCTGTTTAATATACTAACAAGTAACACACAATGGCCTAGTGGTGAACGCGTGCATCCAAACTCCTTCAGGACCTAGGTTCGAATCCCAGGTCCCCCCAATTTGCATTTGTTATTTTTCTTCAGGTTATCCCATGCAGATCCAGGCGCGTGGTGTATCATGTTCCTTCACACATCAAAGTGCCAGATGGCCCCAGGGCCAAATCTGGTGATCCAGAAGTGAGCGTCTACCATGGAACCTAGTCAAAGTGCACACACTGGATCTCACAAAGTCAGCCAGGCCAACACAATTGGGCCATGGAATTTGCTTCTCAAACCCCACTAATCCGGCCCACACCCCTGACTCTTTCTATTTCTTTTTTATTTTAATTGTTTGTTTTATTATTTTTATTTAATTATTAACCAATTAAATCTTTTTCTTTTATAAAATGAAAACCAAAAAAATATTTTTCTTCTTAAAATCAAATTTTAATTTTAATTAATAAATACTAATTATATTATTTAGTTTTAATTAGGATAACTTTAATATATTTTTGTAAATAATAAAATTAATTTAGACATAATTAGGTTTTATTAACATTGATCAATTTTATTTTCTTTCTTTAAATATAAAAAAAACCAAAAATATTTATTTTTATTAATTAGTTTAATTAATTCAATTTAATAATTAATTTAGGATAGTTTATTTCTTAATTCAAAAATAACCAAAAAAATCTTTTCTTTAACAATTAAAGGGTCAAAACCCTAGAACTTGCGCCCGATTTAATTTTTCGCATGCGATCTATTTATCTAATATTGTACTTGTTCCCGGAATGTAATAGCTTAATAGGACTTTAAATATTTTTATCGCTTTATTTATTTTCCGCATTTTAATTTCAAAGGGTTGCTTTTAGCGATGTAAATACCCGACGCCTTGTAATTTAATTTCCGCAATTTATTTTCCGCAACTTATAAACTGCTAGATATTTGATAATAGGGATGCATGACAAGATTGAACGTTTAAACCTAAAATCAACATAGATGACCATTGACATGTACAAAGACAAAATAACTGAAAACAACACACTCGCACATGCGCACTCTTAGGGTACACCCCACTTGGTTGCCTTCGTACGCGGTCATTAAGTATAGGTAGTTTTAGAGGTTGCCCTTTTATCCAAAGATCATAGTCGCCTCGAAATGGTTGCCTCGGATATTTTTGCTTCAAAACAAATGATCTAAGACATTAGGGTTACCGCTAAGGCATCCTAACATTGCTTTAGTGACCGTAAGTCCCTAAATTCGAATTGACCCTTAAACTCCAACGACAGTGCTACCTACTCATCAATAGTAAGATAGCATTGCCTAAAGGAAGATAGCATAGAACGATTCCTTTTCTCGAGTAGGTAGATGGTTCTTAAGTACTTGCTCTTTCAAAAACAAAAATCTTTTTCACACTTACACTCTCTTTCAAACAAAAACTTTTTTTCAAACCCACAAACACAAAGAAAAGCAATTTTGAAAACAAATGAGCAAGTACCTAAGAGCCCGTGGATAACCACGGATAGAAAGGGTGCTAACACCTTCTCTTTCTATAATCTACCCCCCGAACCCGAGAAACATCTCGAAAAATGAATTTTTCTGTGCTTTTTTCCTTTCCTTGTTGGATAAAATAAAAGTCGGTGGGGACTCTTGCTTACCGCGACATTTTGCGAAAACAAACGCAAAATGCAAAACCAGCATATCAAAAAAACAGTCAGTTCTTTCCCACCGTATCACAGTGTTGAATCATCTTCCACCTTCAGATCACGAAAGGCAGTCAAGCCAATCTAAATCTTCAGGTTTAGGAAGATTTAATAGGGGCAGCTATTGTACCCTAAAATTTACTCTCTTTTCATACACGTATATTATTGGTTTTATGGTTATGGATTAAAGGTATATTTGTCAAGCTTCTTCAGGTTACAAGTGACGTTTATTTCGCCAATGGATATTCTCGGAGTATTTTCCGTGCTGAAGATCGGTTCGCCGTTTTGCAATGATTCGGGGTTCAAAGATTCACAAGTCCAACTCGGCGTGTCATATTCAGGTGTTCTTTCGCCAAGATATCTCTTATAACGTATTCTCAAATTCAAGTTCAGCTCAAGAGTCAATTCTTTAAAGAAGGTCTCTGAATGTGTGAGTTTTCTCGAAGAAATATGGTGAAAAAGTGCGTTGAAAGTGCAGTTTTTACGCACTAAAAAATTCATAACTTGAAGATCGTGACTTGTTTTGAACCTGTTTCGGTGACTAAAATTCCGTCTTGACATCATGTACGTTTTCATCTCTCATGGCTGGAAGCCAATTTCGATCAGAAGGTCTTCAAAAATATGGATTTATCAAGTATTTTCGTACATAAAATTTGTGATAGAAGTTTATTTGCGTCATGTTCAGAAAATTATAACTTGGTCGATTTTCATCGTATCGAGCTGGTTCTGGCGCCAAAATTTCAAAAATTGAGTTGGCGAAGTTTTCCCAGGAGGTATTGAGTTCGAACGGTATCAAAAAGGCTTTTGTTTTTTGCTCAGAGTGCGCGTGACGCGCTGAAAATCTTGAATGCTGAATATTATTTCATCTGAGTCGAAACTTCGAAAATTCATAACTCAGTCAATTTTTATCGGATTGGGCCCATATTTTTACACAAGGTCACTGACTCAGAGATCTACAACTTTGCTTCCAAAGTCGAGACTAGATTATGCTCTGACTAATACCAGTTTTTATTGAAGAACGTGTAAGAGTTGACACTGGAGCCCAAAATAAGTTTGTTTGAGCCAAAAATTCAAAAATTCATAACTATTTCACCATTTATCCGATTGAGCTCATTTTCAGACAGGAGTTAGTTCTCGATGTCGGCTACATTTTGTTTTCACATTTCAACTTCAAAAATTACACTTAAGCCCCTGCGATTTAGCCTGGAACATGACGGACTCAAGTGAATTAAAATCTGCACTATTGCTTGTGGTTATTGGAGACCCAATTGCACATTCAAAACCCATTTATTTTCTCTAATTTCCATTATATAATCTCATTCTTTTCTCACAAACATCAGAAGAAAAAAAACCTTTGCCACAACCGTGTCAAAATATCAAATTCCTTCAAAAACCTTAAAATTCTTGTTACAAACCTCTATCTCACTACAAACAAGCCATCCATGTTACAAACCCACATCTCACTACTTCTCTAGTAAGGGTAAGACTGGTTTGATCTCCATGATCAAAAGGGTGTAAGAGCATTCATACATGCCATATCGGTTTTAACATTACAAAATTTCATATATTTGCACTACAAGAAAATTGGCAGATTGCGACAGGTATTTTTGTAGATTACGACGGTTAAAACCGTCGCAATTTGCTTTCCACGACGGTTGCTTTACCGTCGCAGAAGTGTGTGTCCCCAACCTATTTCGCGACGGTTACAAAAACTGTCGTTCAAGTTTACGACGGGTTGATACCGTCGTGACTATCTTTTGAGTTTCTTTTAATTATTGATGGCGACGGTTCGATACTGTCGTGAATATCTTTTGAAATTGATTAAATTGTTTTTGGCGACGGTTCGATACCGTCATAACTTTTGTTGATTACGACGGTTCGGTACTGTCGCCATGACTTTTGTTTATGTCTTGATTTTTTTTTATTTTTCTATTATATATATTTTTTATTTAAATTATTATCTATGTAAAAAATTTTAAATATAGTTTTTTTTTGTGTTATTTTTTTCTTTAAATTATTTCTTCTTTAATATATTTATTTATAGTATTATTTTTTGTTTTATTTCCTATCACTTTGTAATATAGTAAAAATAATTTCAATAAAAAATATTTAACATCAAATAAGCATTATAATATCCAAAAAAATGTGTGTTCCATAATCATGTAAAATGCGAGTTCCATAATCATGTCAAGTAGTACAAAAAACCCAAAATATATCAATTCCTAATCTTATAATAATAAGTATCATTATGCCAAAAATACATGAGAAAGTTCACAATCTAATTATCTCGATCATAGCAAAGTCTAATTTGTCCCCCCTGAAGTTCCATTATCTCCAATACGGTAGCTAGACTCAGATGAACGTCTACCATTAGCGGGTGATTCCAATCCCTAAAAAAAGGTATTAAAATAATAATCTTTAAAATAATACTCATAAAATTTAACTTTAAATGCGTCAAAATAATATACCTGTCTTCCACTAAAATTCTGCATTTGCATTAAGAGTTCAATTTCCTTTGTCCTCGCCTTGTCCCTTTTAGGGTTTAGGGTTTAGGGTTTAGGGTCGTCGGGATTTGGATCCGTCAGCAACGAGCAAATTGACAAAAGGACCTAAAATAGTGAATGTTAGGTTTATTTTTTGTGAGATTTAGATCAACAACAGACAACATCATCATTCCAAACGAAGCTCATTAAAAAAGGAGAAATGATATTTGTGATGGTTTTCCACAGTTCTTGAGACATTTCGATGAAGAATAGGATCCTCTATAATTGCATGAGTCAGTACAGCCAGAAGTTGGAGCGACGTATGTTGGCCAGTATCGTCCAATGCTCTGTCCATTCACCCAGGCTTCTCCTTTTCCCAGCCCCGTGAAATCAATTGCAACTGGGTTACTTCCAGAAGGAGCAATGAAGTTCGTCTAATATAACACATTGAGATTAGTCAGCTGAAGAAAAACATGAGAATTTTAACAAATGCTCTATTCTTATTAAGATTACCTTGTACCAAGTCAAAGGTTGATTTGTAGGTAAGTTAGATTGTGAATTCCACTGTCCAACACTTCCACTAGACAAACCTAAATCTTCACCTTGAAGACCAATCTGCATTTACAAAAATACAGACATGTAATCTATGACTTAATTAAAGAAACTCAGAAGGAGAAACAAAAACAGGCCTTAAGTTAAGCCAAGACTAACCTGGTATGTCCATTGTTGTGAGGAGAGATCAACAGTACTTCCATTTCTCAAACCTTTCAATGTTACTGGACCAGTGATCCCCGCACCCACTAGGTCGTAAAAAGCTCCATAGTTCTGTGGCACATAAAATTCACATTAGCTGAGAAAATGAACACGTAGATGCATATTTTGTACTTTATAATCAGAAAATACGAACCTGTAGTCCCACTGTTAAACTCAGGAGATCAATTTTGTTCTTTCCAGATACAAGTGTAATAGGGATGTCCACCTTGACCTTAGCGTTTCCGCTGTTTCCTACTCCACTCCCTGAAAAAGTTCTCGGTATTAATGTATCGAAATTTCATTACATGATTCGTGAAACACGTCATTGAAGTAAAGAAAGATACCTGCAAGTTTCCCATTTATAAAAGCATGAAGGGCGTGACCGGCAGTATCTTCAACATCAATGCTTCAAAACAATTTGAAAAAGGTTAACATGGGCACGGAAAAACAATCGTCAAGATAAAGCTATTTCAACCTTGAAATTCCTTATACCTTAATGAATACCACAGGTAGTCACTTCTATCTGCAATCGTGTTTATTTGTTCAAGAAGTCCAGATTTTGTGAATGCATCATCCTTTGAAATACCGACCGGTTCACTAATCCAACTCCATCCCGAACTTGAACTCCCCAAAGAATCAACCTCTTCTTTTACAGATTCAGTTGCGAAGCTTGAAATCGTAGATGCAGAATTAATCTGTCGTACGAAAAAATAACTTTAGTTTATGCTACTTTGGAAAGAATAAATAGAAGAAAAGATATCACCAATAGATTGATTAATCACAAGAAGTTTAATAATTAGTTTAGTAAATTGAACTATATAGTGTGACTGGAAGTTGATGAGGCAAACCTTTGCAGTATTTAGAACAACACTCTTGCAATCTGGTAAAATGCTCACAGACCATCCAGGCAAGTGATATGAATTGCCGTTGAAGGTAACCGTTGCATCGTTCGTGCCGGTGTTAGCAAGGAAGGCCACACATGCAGATCCTGTCTTGTAAACTGAAGTCTGAGATTGAAAAGTAAATATTAAGAGATATAACAAAACCATTCATGTCAGTGATTAACTTAAAACTTAAACCAGCAAACTATGATGAAAGCTTCGAAGTGCCTATTATTTATTACCTCTAGATTTGGACCAGGAGATGAAATTGTTGGATCAGTAGCTATAAGTGCTTCTTCACAAAGTTTTATGGCCTTATGCAAATCTTTAAGATGCCCCCGTTTGGGTTGTCTAATAATTCCTGCATCAGGCAATAACACGTTTTTCATTTTTACTGTCTTTTATATATCGAATAACATTGAGTTGCAATCTCTTTTTATTTATCTTCTTGATTGAATAAGCAAGCTAGTTTCTATATTTCTATACCATCAAAATAAAGATGAAATTTGAAAGATTGCATACCATACTCATCAATAGGTGCATCATAATCATAACTTGTAGAAATGAAAGGTCCACCAGTTGTTCGGCCAAAGTTAGTCCCTCCATGGTACTATTTCAGAGCAAGCAAGCAAAAAAAGTTGGGGTATCAGTTGGTTTACTATCTTACATATTAGCTGAGTTTAAACTACATGCGATATTGTCAATAGGGAATAGCAAAAAATAGGGGTTTGTTAAAACTCAGCTATGCTGCAGTGCTACAGTGCAGCATCCGCCGTTATCTGATAACATTTTGTAGTAAGTAGCATATTATGAGACAATAACGTTTGATCAAATTCTAGCACAGTTATAATCACTCTTTGACAATAGTACTACATGTGAGGTTGCATTACCATGTAGTAATTTTGGAAAGTTCCACCTCGCTGAAAAAAACGTGCAACAGCGAATGCAAGATCTTCTACAGGTCTGTACGGCACAACACCTCCAAATGCAAGAAACCTATGATTTCAAAAGGTTGAAATAGGGGGAAAAAGTTGAATCAAATCATATTTTGAGTACTCCATTCAAATTACAAAATGATATAAATAGGAAAAGCCGCTACTAACCATCCAGTCCAATTCTCAGTCCACATTTTTGGTTTCTGGTTAGAGTTTGGCGTGAATTGATCGCAGTAAAATCCATTGCACGTATTAATCTATAAGCATTCAAGACACAATCTTATGAAAATAAACAACCAAGTAGGATGAATGTAGACATCAACATGGTAAGATAGCTCTATCATAAAGATAGTAAAATCAAAGCGTGTGATGAGCACAGAGCCTATTCTTTTGGCTTTGACTAAAAAAATATACTCCGCTAAAACATAAACTGCATAAAACTGTGGATAGCTAAAAGGAGAAAACATACAATTGGATCAGGTGCATTTGCTTGCTGGCACATAACCCAGGGAACGCCTGTATCAAGAGATGTAGCCATCGATGCTGCCCAATTGATGTAGGTTTTAGCAGCAGGACCATAGCTTTTATCAATATTTCCATACTCATTTTCAATCTGGAATAAACAAGTAAATATTTTAACATTAAAGGACTATGCATTAGGTCATTAAGAATCTACAAAACAAATAATTGGGCCTTAATTCCCCAAAAAAAAGAAAAATTGGCTTGTATTTTGATGATTTTAAGAGAATGAAACCTGAGATAAAATGATAGGTCCTCCTTGTGATGCATAGAGATTCTCTTGCTTCATCAAATCCACAATCTTTGCTGTAAACCGTTTCATTTCTGCCTTGAATGGTTCATTATCAGTTCCGAACTTAATTCCCGGAATAAAATGTAACCAAAGAGGGAATCCACTGTTTAAGAAGAAAACAAAGAAATTAAAGCCAAGGATTATATACTAATATGGAACTATCTTTAAAAAGATCCAATTGTACCCGTAATTCCATTCTGCACAAGCGTATGGACCGATCCGGAGATGAACATATAGACCTGCTGCTACTACTGCCTTCACAAATCCAACCAAATCCCCCCTACCTTCAAAATTGTACTGTCAAGCCAAAATATGTAATCCATCGTTAATTTTGAGAGCTCACAAAACTGCAATGTAAAAGACAGAAGAATAACAATATGAAAGTGGAAAGACAATGAAAAAGAACCGAACCTGGCCTCGAACTGGTTCGTGTAAGTTCCAGAAAACATAAGTCTCAATGACATCAATTCCTCCATCTTTGGATTTCTGAATAAGGTCTGGCCACATCTACAACAACAACAACACTACCATTGTTAAGTTCAAACATCAAACACAAATTTAATAAATAGTGCATATCTACTAGCACAGACACGATAATAGTTTGAAATAAATTGAAGTGACTAAATGTAACCATTTCAGAGATATCTTTTGACATTGGGCTGAAGTATCTTTTGAATTCCCAAACAAAGGAATCTAATTCAATTTCAAAAAGTAAAACCTTTGTTGCTAGCAAATATGACAGAAGCAACACAAGTCACTCAAATAAACATGCTTTGGTCAGAATCACACTCTGCAACAGAATATGATGCTTAAATGGTTATAAAGTCCTTTTACAACACCCACTAGGCACTATATAGCATAGCATATCAGAATTCTATAAACTCAGCCATACCTTGAGTTGAGCATTACAACAAACACTTGATGAGCATCATTTTAGTACTATTCTAAAAGAGTATAGAATACAATTATCAAAAGAAAATATGGGTTACTTACCATTGCCATATTAAACTATATATATATTTCTGAGGAAGTTCCTTCAGAAAAGAATAGCACTGATGAACAAGCCAATGGAAATAATGGTGCCGCCAAGACAGATGAACAAAATCCCTCTGAAGTTGCTGCTGCTACTGAGGATAGTGATCAAAAGATGTCAGAAAATGAAAACCCTAAAACAATAAATTAGAAAATCTAACATCAATTCAATATATTCAAACTCAAAATCAATCATCACAAAGAGCTCAACCATAAGATTCAAGTGAATCTCCAATGCTGAAATCAATGGCAGAGAATGAGAGAGATGAGAACAATGCAAAAAGTGATACATAAAACTTACTGTGTTTGAAGAGATGAACGCAGAGGATGTTAAATTGCTTGCTGTGCGTTTTTTGGTGTGAAGATGAGCGGTTTGAAGAGATTCCTTTCGGTGTCGAGGGGTTTCTTTCGGTGTGAAGAAGAACGGCATGAACGGCACCGTGAGTAGAAAAAGTGAACGCAGGAGTAGAAAATGATTGTAGCTGGTAGACCCGTCTACCCCGGACGAGAAAGAGAGGAACCAGAAACTATAGATTCGCCAATCACTGCCCTTGCTGTCCGATGGCGCGTTGCTCCGACCTGAGCTATGCAACAACGGCCTTTTCTCATGTGCGCTGGTGATGGTGCCTTACTAGAGGAACGCCTTACGGGCACTTGTTTGCTTTCTTGAAATGAGCTAGCTGTAGCCAGGGATCGTCAACGAACCTTAGCTATTCGTTGGATCCGTCTCTAGCCGCATTAAAGCCCGGATGGAAAACCCCAGGAAATACCTGGCAAGCCCCTGCTAAACTGCATCTGTTTCGGGTACAGGGGCTTAGAGGGGTGCTAACCCGGCCACCGGAAAGAAGAAGAGCTCAAGGCCGCCACAACATTAGATGACCTTCCACGGGGTGGCAAGCTTTAGAGAATAGGGAAGTTTTGTTTCTCTTTCAGTTGGTGATTGGGGATTGGCATAGTTCTCTTTTCTCGTATGCCCGGAAAATCAAATTGCGGTACAACTCAGCTTTTTTTAACTTTTTTACGGCGACGGGTGTTTTACCGTCGTGCCCATGAGAATTTTTAAAGGTTTTGGGTGCGACGGTTGTTTTACCGTCGTGAAATGAATTTTAGGACGGATAATTTTACCGTCGTGAAAGGTTTAAGGGTGCGACGGGTGCTTTACCGTCGTGATATGCCTTTTAGGACGGTTAATTTTACCGTCGTGACTAGTTGTTGGTGAAAAATCAATGTTAAAAGTGTTAAATGGGGGCCGACGGTTGTTTTACCGTCGTAATAATAATATTATGATGGTTAAATATACCGTCGCAAAATAAATATTAGGGACGGTTGGTGTCAACTGTCGTAAACACTGTCTCTATATGTCAATTACGACAGTTATCACATAACTGTCGCAATTTTTGTGTCGTTAAACACTAATTTTCTTGTAGTGTTGCTTTATTTGTATTTTATGATATAGTAATTTATTTAATGTGTTCATGAGATTCAACATTCCAGATTTAGACAGGGTCCCATGTAGGGTTATTACAAAATACTGAGGCCAAAACAGAACAACCACCAATGCATGGCTCATGGAAATACAGACATTCTGAGGAGGTTAAGGGCGTGGGTTCAACACCCACCCCTATTGGTTTTGCTTTTCTTCCATTCCTTTTATCTATTTTACCTATTTTTCTTCTTTCTGTTTAAAACCTTTTTCATAAAACCTAATATTTTTTACAAACCTTTGATTTTTTCTCCCAAACTCGAATAATTAATTTTAGGTTTTTTAAATTTAATTTTAGATCATTTTTAATTTAATTTTAGGTTTTAATTTAATTTTAGGTTTTTAATTTCATTTTTTGTTTTTTGTTTCTAACCAATTTGTCCTTTTCAATCTTAAATTCACTTAACCACATAACTTTTTTCACAAACCTTTTTTTTACAAAAAAAACCTAATTTAATTTTTAAGTTAATTAATTTTATATTTTTTTAACTTTTTTCAAAATTAACCTTTTTTTAAATTAAAACTAATTAGGATTTAGATATTTTAATTAACTTTTTTCAAAATTAACATTTTTTTATTAATTAAAATTAATTAGGTTTTTTTAGGTTTATTTAATTAATTATCATAAATTATTTTTTTTCATAAAAAATCATCAAAACATTTTCTTTGTTATTTTCATCTTATTTTTATTTTCCTAGATAAAGTGTATACGACGCGTTCAATTGTAATAGTGTAGCTTTATTTTTCCCGCTTTTTTATTTATCATTATCATGTAATTGTTTTCGGGATGTAATAGTTTTAGGATTTCTTTTCCGCCCTCTTCACTATTATGTAACTGCCCCAAAACTCTGTAATAGCTTAGGTTTACATTTCCGCCTTTATCTCCTGCTACTATATTTTATGCAATGCTTAGATTAATAGGATTGTATGGAAAGATAAAAATGAACGATAAAAAACCCTAATTGCAAGATAAATATAACTGAAAAAACATATTGTTACACACTTGCACCCTTAGGGTATACCTGACTTGGTTGCCTCAGAAAACAATGGTCATGTCCCTCGAACGTAGGGATATCTTAGCATAAGATCCTCTATCTAAAAATCATCAAAAAGATCATAGTCCCTTAATGTCCCTCGAGTTGCCTACGAGAAATGATCTTGTCCCTCGATGTTGCCTACGAATATATGATGACAGTCCCTTCGAAATGCTAAGGTATCCTTACATGTTGCCTTCAATGACCATAAGCGTCCCTTTCGATAGTCCATAAAAACTCCAACGACGATGCTACCTATTTCTCAATAATGGGATAACATTGTCTAAAAGGAAAATGAACAGGCTTTTTTCAAGTAGGGAGAAAACTCTTACGTACTTGCTCTAACAAACAAACTTTTTCACACAAACACTTTTCAAACAAAGTTTTCAAAAACAACTTCATAACACTCTTGAGGACAGAAACAAGGGTTAAAACGAAGTAAAATAAAACTTTTCCAAACAAAGCACACACAAGCAGTTTTTCAAAGCAAGCACACTCAAGCAATTTCAAAATGAGCAAGTACCTAAGAGCCTGTGTAAAACCACAGATAGAAAGGGTGCTAACACCTTCCCTTTCTATAATCTACCCCCCGTACTCAAAAACATCTCGAAAAGGGTTTTTCTGTTCTTTTTCCTTTTCCTGATTGGATAAAATAAAAGTCAGCGGCGACTCTTGTTTACCGCGATATTTTGCAAACAAAAAATGCAAACCAGTATTAAACGTTGGTTTTTCCACTGTATCACACCATGTCCAACAAATATAAGCATCAACCATACTTCTTATCATTGACAGAAGCAATTTTCATTGGTCCAAACAAGTCAATATGCATAATCTCCAATGACCTAGAAGTAGAAACAACATCCTTTGCTTTAAAAGGAGTTTTTAAAAACTTGCCTTTCTGACTGGCTTCACAAAGAGCTTCTGAAGTGAACTTCAGATTTGGAAGGCCTCTGACAAGATCAAGCTTATTTAGCTGAGAGATTCTTCTCATGCTAACATGGTCAAAAAGTTTATGCTAGATTCATTGCTCTTCATTATCAGACAGAGACATTTTATATTTTTCTCTTTAAGATTAGAAAGTCTAATCTTATAGATGTTGTTCTTTCTCTTACCATTGAAAAGGTTTAAGCCATCCTTCTTACTAACAACAGCCTTATAGAAGTTTTGATTAAATATTGTATCATAACCATTATCACAAAATTGACTTATGAACAATAAATTATACATTAATCTATCAAAAAGCAAAAAAAAATATTAATAGAAGGGAGGGAATTGTTACCAATTGTTTCGGAGCCTATGATCTTCCCTTTTTATCACCTCCAAAACCCATGAATCCTCTAGGCTTAAGTATCAGGCTTTGGAATATATGCCTTATTCGCATCATGTGCCATGAGCATCCTGAATCCAGGTACCATGATTGGTGTCTTAAATTCACTTCTAAGGATATCTGCAACAAATATTATATACTTCTTAGGTACCCACAATTTCTTGGTTCCTTTTTTGTTAGTCTTCTCAGAGTTGTTCATAGCCTTAGGCTTAGGAGCAGGATAAACATATTTAAATGCATTCTTGAAACAAAAATTTTCTTTAGGTTTAGCCTTAGAAGCAGAAAGAGTTTTACCTTTTTCTTTTACTTTAGGCTCAGAACCAGCAGAGACAAAATAAGAATGAAGAGTATTTGGTTTATCTTCTATTTAAGAATTAGATTCTTCATAAGAATCATAACCAATATCTTTTGTATCGTTGATGTTTACGCTAGACCATTGAAGTCGTGACGCTTCTGCCCAGGCTTCTAGCAAGAAATTTCTAGAATGATTTGTCATATTTCTTTATGGCACATTAATGCTCACAGAAGCTTCTGAAAGAATTTCCTTCTCATGACTTGAACTCTTTCTTTTGAGAACAGATTAATAAAACTAAAGAATATAATTTTCTTCTCTTAAAGATAAAAATTCTTC